TCGGGGGGGGGGGGGGGGGGGGGGGGCAGAAAACACCCACAGGGAGGATAATGTTTTTCCTCGACTTTCTTAGTTAAAATCACTTCTTTTTTAATGTTTTTGTAAAACACAACTGTTGAAGTCCTTACATTCCACAAGCTATTTACAACATTCGCGTCCATGTTGTATCAGAAATACAACCTCTCACCTTCTCCTAGAGTTTGTATTGTATCTGATACAATTACTCATCCGTTCTTGCATGTTGTATATATATTACATAATTCATCACCCATATATCAGGACTGAAAAACCTATATTTGTTGCTATATATAATCTTAGTTTCCCTATATATTAGCTACGTTTTCGATAGTTTCAATCTCCTTTTATATTCTCTGGTCATCACATCGTTTATCTCCTGTTGTTTGATTATGTCCATTTCAATTTTCCTGGATATTTGTAGCGACTATCATCTATTTATTTTATTATCTGACCATCAGCTAGTGTTATCCCGTTCATTTTCACTATTTTCCCTTTCATGATAAAAAATCCACAACCATATCATATTTTTCTTATATGTATCATTTATTATTTATATCAAATGCATCGTATATCAATATCATTATAGGTGGTATTTCCACAAACGAAAACTGATAAATTAACTTTGCATGCAGTATTTAATAGTTATTTTGTGTTGTATTTGTGATTCAGTTTATTGACTACATATCAAAGGAAAAGAAGCCTCTCATCATACAGGTTTGGGGAAAACAAAAAGTTATGGAAAAGAAAGGCACGAAAAAAGCAAATAAACCAGAGCAAACTACAAAAGCAATTGTGATGTCTGAAGCAATGAAGAAAGGCTCCGCTGCTGGAAATGTTCGCAGTGTGAGTATAATTAATATGTAGAATTTTTTTGTGTGTTTGGTTAAGTTAAAGAACCGGTTATCTTTTGGCACATTGGTGACATTAAAGGGGCAATGTCACCGATTTTTTAGCAATTCCAACCCTCGCAAATTTTGCCCAAAACTGAAAAAGAATGAGTGTAAGCACAAAATAAAGCAATAACAGACACAAAAAACATGTACAGAAGCCTGGATGGGCAAGATTACGCCAGGATTGAGATGGATTGTAAATGGCATATTGATTAATTGTTGGTAGACACTTTTTCATGTTTTAGGCCTTTTAGTCAATTTTTATAAAAATGTCATGTTACATGTTGCGTGGAAGTTCAAAGTTGTTTAATATGACTCATATATATTATTATCATAACTTAATCCATTTAGCCTACAATGTTTATTTTTAACTTTGTAGTTCAGTTTTTGAATAAAAGGCATTTTAGGTCAAAAATCGGTGACATTGCCTTTAATAGTATTGTTAGTATGGTGGTAGGCTAAAGAACGCGTGTTAGCTTATGTTGTTGCTAAGCTTGATGCGACATGCACCTTATTTGTAATTTAGTTAAGCACGATGAGAACTTGGGTTATTGAATAGCATTCGAAACCAATGGGTAGCGGAAATTGAGAAAAATTAATGTTAAAAATATTTTGTTAAATAAAATTAATGTGCAAAATAATGTTACTATTTATCGGTTTGTGAAAATAGTCAAAATATAATCATGTAAAAATGAAGATTCATAAATGAATAGCTAACTTCGTGTGACCACATGTGTTAAAATGATATCAAATTGAATTTTCGGTATACATTTTAGGATGAAAAGCGTTCTGAACATTCAGTATTCAACGCAGTACAACAGATAACCATGCAGAAGCGACTACAAAGGATGGAAAACAAAGTTGTAAGTAACATGACTTTATTTAAATGTTTGAAGCGAAACCAGGATTACAGGATTATTCATAATGCGTTTGTATAGACGTTCAGTCTCTGGTTTTAAATATTTATTTAGTACATTGTCAAGCTTTCGACTGCCATGCAGTCTTCAGTGTTCAGTCTTCAACGAGTACATTAGAATGAGAGTATGACAATTACAACGGTTTACAATTACATATAGATACAAAATGACAAAAATGACATTTCCGCCTAAATACAGGATTAATGACTTAAATTACATGTATATATTATATTCAAAGTTTTTTGCTAAGTAAAAAGCGGTATTGTTCCGGTAAATGTTTTGAATTGTTGTCAGAGTTTTTTGTGCATGCATGCATGCAGTGTACCATGATTCAAGTGTTTCTCTGTGCCGATGGTTGCCTTTGTCAATTATTTTCCCGCTGTTAAAATCTATTTTATGGTTGTTTGTCCAAGCGTGATTAGCGATATTTGGACCACTTTTACAGAGGTCTATACATTTCTCCTGTGTTCCTTTCGCCAAGTGCAGAATGCTCTGCCAGTTTTGCCAATGGCAATGTAGCTCCATGAGCAATCTGCACAGTTGACCTTGTAGAGATATAGAGCCATCGTAAGGTCAACAGCTTCTTTCGATTTTCAACAATGATTTGGTTAGTTGATCGTATTAATCCTGTATATAGGCGGAACTGTCATTTTGTATCTATATGTAATTGTAAACCGTTGTGATTGTTAATACACTCTCATTGTAATCTACCCGTTAAAGACTGCAGACTTGACAGTCGAAAGCTCGTACTTAATAAATATTTAAAAACGTCTACAAACTTATTAACATGACTTTAATTATTGGAAAAAACCGCCTTTACTGTAATTATCGCTTGCACTACCCCTTGTTGGTATCGTCAAGGGGAAATGCTACACGATAAATTGGGAGGTTTTGGTTGTACCTGTTCATTTCCTTTTAATGCTCATCGTATATTTATCTATTCTACAGCAACAAATACGGCGTTTGTGTGAAGAGAAAGAGAAAAAAGGAGGACATGAAATTGAGGTAAATACACATGACCTTACGGAGTATTAGGCCATGCCTTATTAGAACATTAGAAGTTGTATACATGCATTCTTAAGATACACTCGCTGGCGGTCATGAAGAATTGCTCATATTAGAAATCCGCTGCATATAAACAATATTTAATCTTGTGGTAACATTTTTTCTGCGGCATATATGTGAAAAATTAATCATTTGGATTTGGATCTGTGCAAGAAATTTCGACCTACTTAAATAGAAAAGAACCGAAAAAAGATGTGAAGTCATGGATCGAAACCAAAGAATCCGCCCAAAGAATCAGCCCAAAACATTCCAAGGCTTTTCGCAATGGACGATTACTGCTAGCGTAGGTCGATTTGAATAAATTTTGGCATGCTCACATTGGGGTAATGTCATTTCCAAAAAAGGGGCAGTTTTACAGTTTTTATTTCACAACCAAGGAAAGTGCTAGTGGTGGAAGAGAAATCAAAACAAGTCGCGTTTGTCATTTGATTACATTACCTTGGCCATACCATTCCCTCGTAGTTTTTCAATCAGGAAAGAAAGGCATTATGCTATGCACTGTTTTGTTGGTTCGATTATTAAGAATAATCGATTGTAAAAAAGCACAAAAAATGAAAAAACTAATGTATTAATCGATCAATCGGGAGCAGTTATAGGTAGTGTAGATTGTTGGTGGTTTTCCTTGCCTGTTTTAACCCGTGCGTTGTTTATTATCAGGTTTCTGATATTCGCAATGTGCTTGGAGATCCTCCACCAAAAGCAGTAAATGGACATAACAATAACCGACGTGAATCGTCCGCATCATCAGCATCATCATCAACGAAAAGTAGTAAACAACAGCAACAGCAAGACCGACCACGAAGCCAAGCTAAGAGTCAAGCCTGTACAGTCTTATAGTTTAATGCACGTATAACACAGCACTATACATACACACATTGCACAATCCCACACAGTTTTTGTCATTTCATTTCGGGTCTTTGTACATATTCAATTTCAATGGACCCAGTGTATCTGTGAAAAGTTACAAGACAGCAACAATCGAGTATAGTGCACGATTTATTTTGGAATGTACAGTGAGCTCCATCGAATCTAAAATGTGAAACCAAAGATGGCAGAGATTGGCGTCTAGTGCCAGTCCCTTTTTTATTGCTTTTGTTTGCGCGATTAACAAGGAGTGTGCCGAAATTCCTTATTTTGACTTCGATTTAAAGAATAATACATATATGTTACTACACAATGGCTAAAACAAAGCATTCTTCGAAAAACAATGTTTACAACACTATTTGAGCATTTAAAAATGCAGATTTTTTAATTGCTGTAAACAATTTATGACAAAGATAAAACGATAACAATATATTTTGAGATATAATATTAAAAGTCGAAAACAGAGACGTTTTTACTCCAGTTTCATTTTAGTCCGCCAAAACAGCCGTTCAATGGCGGCATAAATTAAGTATCACTCTGTCAGCATTTAACGTGTTATAATGGACCGTCTTGCAGATGGACCGTCTTGCCATATAATAAGGGAGCTTAATAAGCATGTAGGACGGCAACACGACGACGACGGCCAAAACAAAATCCTCCAAATTAATGATGGTAAATAAAACTTGTCGTATATTATAATTCGTATCAATTTAATACAGTATAAGAAGTTGAAAACATTGGCTTTATGTTTGGGAAGAGTTCTACTGAGCCGAATTTTAAGTTGCACTTGTTACGGCTTGAAATGCAGGCGTTGTATAAAAGACGTGAAAATCTGTGATTTGCCATTGTAAACAGAGCGACGACTACGTCTGAAACTCCCCCGGGACTTTAATTATTTATTTATTTTCATTGACTCGTTGTATTGGTTGCCGTCGTCCTCGTGTTGCCGTCCTACATGCTTGAGTTAAGCTCCTAATATGGATTTATGAACTGATAACTTGATTAGCTAAACGGTCCGTTGGAACAACTGGAATTAGTTGGGAAAATGGAATGATAACTGTTTACGACCTTCATAAACTTTGGACGTCAGTTTCCGCCATCTTGGCTTCACGTTTCTCATGGGCCGAACGACTGAAGTTCTTACTCCATACATGTAGATATATGTTTATATATACAGCTAATTCAATTAAGGTTGTCCAGAGAATCTTTAACCTCTAAGCGCGAATTATTATTATGAGGTTGTTTATGCATACATCATACATGTTAGCACATGTCTGCTAATCAAGTGAATTTAATTCCCAAAGGAGTCAAGCACATCACACAAACAACTCTCTTTAACATTAAAAAGTTGATGACCAGCTGCCAGTTTTGTACACATAATAATAAAGGAAAACAAATGTTGCACAGGCTTGTATGATGTCTAGAGAGGGGTACTACAATGCTGTACTCGTGTGATGTATGGCGATATTTCAACGTTTTGCAGATTTTATTGAAACGCGATATCAATCCGAGGTTATATGAAAGTAATACTAGAGTCCCTATATACTATACGTTTAGGACCTTATATAAGCATGCAGTAGTCACATATATCCATGTCTTAAACTATACTATGGCTTGATTTATAAAGCAAATATAATTGTCATAGTTAAGCGCCGTACAGCAGGTTTTCATATTACTTGAGAAGTTTTATTTGTTCTGCATGTCTATCGCAGACAGTTTCAGCCGGAAATTGTTATGAAATTGGTAACTACTTCATCTTGCACGGATATTTTGGATCCAAATCAATTGAGAGTTTCCATTGCGCATCCAAATGACGCGTTTACCGTCGGGATAAATTGCATTGATCATAACAATGCAGCTGAGACTGGATGATTAAAATTGTATGTCAAAGTACTCAGCTGTTCAATCGTTTATAGCCACAATAGAGCGTTTGCACATGACGTCACAGCCGCCATGTTGGTGTTCCAATTCAAAAGAATTTTAATTAGACTCTTTTGTCTGGAACACCAACATGGCCGCCATGGCTTTTGTTGAGTTGGTCCCTGGCCCTGGGAATGAATGCAAACGCTCTACAGGGTGTATAAAAAAAAACGCAGCCTCGGAATTTCCCAAGAAATCGACATTGTTTTAAAGACAAAAGATTTTAAGCGCCTGAGAATTTAAAATAGCACAACTGTCAAAATTACTGCACACGCGAGTGCATAAAGCAAAATTTATGCATTTATTTAATGCACAACAACAGTAATATGATCTATTTTTTTTATACACCCTGTACAGTATACAGGGTGAATAAAAAAAAGGAGACCTTTAGAAATTAACCTTATATTGTTATAATTTGATTGCTATACTGTACATATAAGCACTACGCTGAACACAAGAGAGTGAAAACACAATTGAATTAAATTTTTAATTACCAGGAGCAAAATATATTGTGCTTAACAACAATAGATTAATCTCTAAAGGTCTCCTCTTTTATGATACACCCTGTAGACCTTTCTTGTAATGACGTCAAACGCGGAAAAACACTTAATGCGATGTCCCAAGGAACAATGCAAATGATGTTTTTATGAAATTTATTGGCCAACGACTTGCATTGATCTGTAGGACAATGCATAAATTGACCCTAAATTGTTTTCCGCGCTTGACGTCATTATAAGAAAGGTCTATTGAATAATTTGTTATTCTAAATCCTTTCATTGTCAGCTACGTGTTTAAATTTAACTGCAATTTATCCCACCGACACCACGCATTTGGATGCACAGTGGCTTACTTCGCTGACTTCTTCGTCGCGAAGAACGACTGCTCGTCTGTACGGGACTTTAATCTTCTTAAATTGCAAGTATTTATTGATTATTTATTTATTATTACAATGTAAGTAGTTTTGAATGATACGTTTTAGTAATAACGATTAACGTTGAAATATATTTTCATGTATATGTACAGTAGTGTGTGTCCCAAACGATTTAACGCAACGCAAAAATTAGAACAGCTAACATTCAAATAAATTTCACCATGTTGCACTGTGTCGTATACGATTTAGTTGAGGTTTTTCACAGAATGAAAATTGTTGTTTTAAGATATATACAACACAACACCTGTCGCCCTACGTTTGGCCAGGTTACTGTAGATTTGTAAAGGCCGATTTACACATAATACAACTTTTGCCTAAAACAGTTAAAACTGTCGCATGCAACCTGCTTACAACTTCAGTCGTACTGTTTAAATCAAAAGGGAGTTTACGATCTGCGACGCGGCCGGCTCAACGACGCGGTCTAAATTGTAGCTCAAGAATGAGCGCTATAAGCAATTCGATTACTGTAATAAATATTTGACTCTTTCAAATAACCTTACAAAATGCTACGTTCGGCTAAAGCGATGCAATGTTTGCTGTAATTTCGACTTTTAGTAACACCTCTTGTGTCGCATTAAGCTTTCGCGTTGCCTGAAAGACGTAATGCTTTTTTAACGTTGTGTTGAGAATGACAACGCGGTTGACAATACTCATGGGACCACAAATTATTGACAGTTTTTGTCTTGCATGACAAATTTCTTTGTAAGTTCTTTGTAGGTATGCATGGCGATAAAACACATACTATTGTTTGTGGAAACACCAAATTTCTTTGTTTTGAAAGCGCGTCGTCGAGCCGGCCGCGTCGTAGATCGTAAACTCCCTAAACTCTCAGCCACGACGTAGGCGAGTACAACTGAAGTTGTAAGCAGGTTGCATGCGATAGTTTTAGGCAAAAGTTGTGTCAGTAGTGTAAAATGGCCTTATAAAGTACATTTTATCAAAGAGTTTGAGCAAAAATTGACGTCTGAACGAAAAGAATTGTTGTTGCATCATGTAAGGAACAGCCATGATTATACAAAGTCGAGCTCCATCAAATCTTCCAACTGGGAGATATCTTCTACAAATATCAGAACGAAAGAGCTAGAAAATTACATTCAGTTTAGATCCAGGGTGCTAAGGGAGCATTCATTTTTTAGCTGGGGGGGGGGGGAGGAATTTGGGGGTGGGTCAGCCAATTTTGACATGCTTCAAAGGGATGGGTCTTTTTGTAGTTTTGGTATAAATGGAGGGGGTCATAAAAATAATCAGTGAAAAAATCACCAATATAATTTTATAGAATTTGGAAAAAATATGGATCAAAAAGGGTAAAAAAGTCTAGAATCTATCAACTATCTCATCATCTTTAACAAAGAAGCAAAATTTGTTTGACGCTCTGTTCACACAGTCCTAGACTTGCCCAAGTCGCTCGCTAGGGACCGCGCGTAGCAAGAAGGGAGCGCTTGAGAAAGATGGAAGCGAGCGACTTGTGTCACTTGCCTGATTTTGAATCTTACTGAAAAATTTGGCGCGAAAATCAATTATGACATAGTGGGCGTTCACCATGTCGATTTCACTAGTTCATTCAATCATTCACGGGCTTTAGGACAAATTCAATTCGACAACAATAGTATTCTATCTAAATACCAGTTAAAATAAAGTGTACGGCACCTGAACTGTTCAATATCTTGCTTCTGTATCCATAGAATTACATTTACATATATGCAAATGTTGACAGTATACTTTCAAAATCCGCCATTTTTATTTACATTAGAACCCAAGCTTTCGCGGTTCACACGAAATATTACGTCGTTCATCTGGTGATTTTCACTAATAATAAGAGGGTAGGATCATCCAATTATTTAATCGTTCGAAGCGCGAGGAAACCATGCTTCCATATATGGCACAAACGTGTCCCCAACTTCCTTATATGGCACAAACGTGTCCCCAAAATATTTTATCGAATTTTGCCGTTATGATGTCATAAGATTCCTCCCGCTCGGAACGATTTGAACAGGTCACGTGGTACAGAACCCAGACAGCTGATTGGGTTAGCGAGTGACAACGCCCACTTTAATCCTACCCTCTTATTACTCGCTGGGGCACCTGTGCCCCGGACGAGTATAGGTTTCGGCTCGCATTTTTCTCCGATAGTGGATCGTGGATCGAAGATCGATAGCCACAAAATAGAATATTAATGAGCTACCTAATTTTTACCCAAATTATCGATAAAGCTCCCTCGGCTCCTGCCAATTTTTACCCACATTATCCATAAATAACCCTGCATTTTGAGGAAAATTCGGGAAAATTGAACAATTTTACAAGGAATTTCGACATGGAAACAGCAACCTTCGCAAATCGCAAGTTACGTCAACCTCGTTCACGAGGTTGAAGTTACGTTTGGCTGCGCTGCTTTATGTTTTGAGAAGAAAGCGACACCGTTCCATACGATTCAGCGTAAGAAATTGTACTTACGGATGTTAAGTGTATTACTAAACAGGGCCGTAGGAAGCTCTTTTCGATTGGGGGGGCTGGAAGCGAGGGCCGAAGGCCCGAGGAAATTTTTAAATTTAGAGTCTCTAAAATGCCATTTCCTGGACTTTGGGGGAAGATTTAACAGAATTCTGATAGTCAGAAAACAGCGTTTTAGTATGTCGAAATTTACAGGAAAGTATGGGCCAGACTGTAGCATTATAAATGCGCGGCGGGAATTTTCGTCGTAAATGGCAGTTGCGCGGAAATGAAGGCAGAACATTTGAGAAAATTTCGAAAATCTGGAGTCTCTAGATGGTCTGAAATGGCATTTTCAGAGTTTTCTCTCGCAAGACCCAACACGCAAAAGACAAAATAAATAATTAGTTCATCAAAAATGTGCAGATTTTGTGGGATTTTCTTGAAAATGCGCGACAGAAATTCAGCTAAAATTTCTACGCGAGGAACGATCTGGAGTATGAGTAATATCTTCATTCTTTGCAGTTTGTCACAGATTAAATGATAAAGTTTGCATGATTTTGAAAAAAGAATGATTATTAGCAAGTTATTGGGGGGGGCTGCAGCCCCCCAGCCCCCCCGGTTGCTACGGCCCTGCTAAACACCAGTATTCTAGCGATTTATTGCCTTTGAAAATCAAGCGAAATTGTATTGTTGATAAATCGCTCGCAGTACGTATTGAGGATAAAAATACCACCGTTCGATTCAGCGTTAGAAATTGTATTAATTACGGATGTCAATTGTACAGTATTACTAAACAACAGTATTCTAGCGAATATGGCCTTTGTCAGTTGAAAGCCAAGCGAAATAATTGTATTGTTGACAAGTCGCTCAAAATTATTAATGCAGTACGTTTAATCCTTGATAACTTTGGTATCATTGGTTTTCTCTTTTTCGGCCGTATACCAGTGGATTCGTCTCACTTCTCTCTTCATTTTGATAGTATTTTGAGCCCAAAAGCCCCCAAATACTTTATTTTGAACGTTTTAAAGATGCGGTACAGTCCGTATGTAAACAAAGGCTTTGTTTACATTTCGGTATCCCGTATCCAAAATATTGAATTTTATTCGACAACTATTTATATTTTCATGATTCTAGAGTATAATAAATTATCAAGAGACAACAATCAAGCTTTGCAAGAACATAAAATGAAATAAAAACCTAAATAAACTGTTTGTAAATAAAAAGAGGGCTCCTTTGTGCACATGCGCAGATCAGACTGTGCCGCATCTTTAAAGCGCAGTTTAATCCTAGCGTACGGACCAACTGGCGGCTGACAGTCTTGAAGAAATAGAATGTAGCATACTATAAAATATAACTTTACTTGTAGGGCCTACCGCATTTTAGTACTGTGTTACATGTAAGCCTTTCGTGCCGGTATCGACTTTTCCGCTTATCACGCTTAGCTCGGGGAAGACCTTAAATCTTAATTGAAATAGCTGTGTACTGTATGTATCATGTACAGTAATGTGCGTATTTGTATAGCCCTAGACTCGGGTTCAAGTCCGTCTCTCAAGGGGTTGAAAATAGCGATGCACGCGAGCGGTCAAAAAAGGTGCGAAAATATGAGAGACGGACTTCAACTAACCTGAAGTTCAGGCCCTAACCAAGTCTAGTATAGCCCCAGCGAGTTAACGCTCCGCAGAGCGTCTTGTTATTAGTGAAAATCACCGACGTTAATATTTCGTGTGAACCGCGAAAGCGTGGGTTCTAATGTAAATAAATATGGCGGATTTTGAAAATATACAGCATTTGCATATATGTAAATGTTTTATGGATATAGAAGCAAGATATTGAACAGTTCAGGTGCCGTACACTTTATTTCAACTGCTATTTAGATAGAATACTATTGTTGTCGAATTGAATTTGTCCTAAAGCCCGTGGTTCATTGTTTTGTTCATAATAATAATGAGCATTCACTGACGTCACCGGAGCAAAAATGCACCGGTGAATTTGGCGCGCTTGCGGGTGACAAAAGTCCGTCGCTTCCAGGAACCACGAACCGCGGACTTTGGAAAGTCTAACACAGTCCATATGAAAACATTTCCATGACTTTCGTCAATTGACCTCGTTTTTATCCGTTTTTGTGTGAAAACATGAATGAAAACGCTACGGAAACGACACCGTGTGGATTAATAATAGTTAGGATGAGGGGTCAAAAAATGTTTCAGTTAAAAAATAGGGGGTCATAATTTTTTATCAACTTTTCTCTCGGGGGTTCCAAGTTTTAGCATGGAATTAGACATCAGTTCCTCCGCCCCCCCCCCCCCCCAGCTAAAAAATGAATGCTCCCTAATTTCCAGATACATGGAAATTTTTATGACATAGACACCCAGGGGAAGCTTCTCTCCGGACTCTCGGCGGCCCTGGTCCGCGCTTATGAGTTCATCTAACCTTTTCATAGAAATAAGACGTATAGAAAAGCAATTTGATACTTTTCGATACTTTACTGGGTGACATCACAACCAAACTGACCAAGGTAAATGAATCATGATTGTTGATCTTTTTAATTAAATGGAATTATTTTTTCCGCCAACCTTCTAGTTTTAACATGTTGTTAATGGCATCCTTTACCACGTCATCCGTCAAAGGTACACTACGAAAATAACATATACTTCCATCAAATTAATTGCACAAAGAAAAAAGTCTTCATTACAACGATTGTGTGATGATGCCATATTTCAGTGGCAAAATCAAACGTTGGTTGCACAATACTACTTGTAATTTCATTAATAAATGATTCATCGAGAAAACACAAGAGAAACCATGAGCGGCGAAGGCCTGTAACAAATCGTGCAGAACTTTAAATTCATTTTTCTTACCGAAGATCAGTCATATCTTTAGAATTACTGAAGGGCCCTGAAGAATAACTCGCCTTCGACTCGTGTTTGTGTGCCTATATATGTTATAAAACAGTGCCGATTATTGCTCACAACTTACTGATCAGGTTCTAATGGTACAGTCAGATTCCTTTTGTCCTTGATTACAGGAAAGCCTGTGAAAAAAGATATGCCAGTTACATTGATGTATATAGAGATGCAATTTTTTCCACAGCGACTGTCCGGAAATCGGTACATTTCCAAGTATTTTTTCCTGCTAGCCACTATGTTAGGCCAAATAAAAAATACTTGGTTAGAGTCACCGACTCTCACAAATTTTCAGAGTCGGGCGGTGACGTAGCCTGTGCACATCCTGTATTACCCTGTACTACAGGATGTGCACAGGCTAGCGGTGACGCTGACCAAGTATTTATTTTTATTTGGCCTTACGACAAAAATTATTTTATTCTCTCTTTCGTACAGTGTAAGTAAATGAAATTTTCACTTTTCATTGACATTTACAGCATACTGTTATGCGCCAATCAATTTATACTGTTAACACCCTTACACCCCCCCCCCCAGGCATACCCCTGGGCATTTGAACTTTCTGAAATTTTATGGTCAAATTTCCCACTCCCAGGACAAAAGTACCAGGGGC